TGACGGACCACCGCAGTCTGAACTGTAACGGCATGTCTCCCCAACGCAGCTTCGTCTGCAAACATGTTTATCGTAGGAATATCGCTGTTCACAACAATACTCTGAGGCACCGCAGTTGGAATTAGAGTAACAATCGCTACAGCCTGACTTGGTACACTTGTTTGATTTACAGCATTCGTTTTTGCCTCCGCAATCACCGTCTGTTGTGCAATAGCGACCATCGCATGAACTCTTTCCGTATCTGCATTTTCTACTATTATATCCATATTCATAGGTGTATCCTTTACAGCAAACGCCGTTGCTGTAATAGCTTCTCACACAATCAGAATTTGAATTGCACGTGGTTTGGCCTAAAACCAGGCCAAACTCTCCCATATACATCGCATTTAGAAGGAAAAGAAAAGTCATAGAGACGAACGACATCTTGTCTGTTATTTGTTAATAACGAAACCTTGTGAGACAAAAAATTCCTCGTTACTTGGCAACTTAATCAAGAAATAATGAAATATTTATCTTTTTCTTGGAAGGGGGATTACGCGGAATTCAAGGTAATGCAGCGAACCCATGCTGGGACAATAATGAGAATACGCGGGCGGCGGGCCGATATTATTACCAAAAAACAATTGCAACCCTGCTCAAGAATCGTGAACACCAAGTCAACTAATTTGGTCGAATAATTTGAAAAATTATTAACTTATCAAATGAACCCGAAATTTATAGGGAAAATGATACACGAAAAGTACGCACTAAAAATGTTTAAGTGTTTACTGAGCCTTTAGTTTTAATACCAGAAACTGGTGAATGATGCGGTCAATTTGTAAGACGGAATATTCATAAGCGTTACAGCGTAAGCTTGTACATTTGCTCTACGCTATGCCACATGCCAAATATTTATGCGCTAAATACCGCTTATACACTTTACAGTAAGGTATCAGAGTTAGGGCAGTATTGTTTATAATGCTACAATTGTCGTATTGGTTTGGTGGTGGCATTAATCGTTGTACTGTTTGACATAAACATGAATTACAAGATTTTACAAATATATTAATATTCTACAGTCTTCTACATCTATTATAATTATGTATTGGCTGTTTAAGGACTCAACTCCTAAATATGTGTATTATATCAGCTTGTTAACGTAAATTCATACATGCAGTAAATCTTGGTTGGTATACTTGATACAAATAAACAATACAATAGTCGACTTATGACCGAACGACGACGGGCCAATGCTAATATATGCTAATACAGGATATACAAATATATAGTTAACATAGCAATTTGTAGGACTATAGTTTATATGAACTTATAGATGTATTGTTTACACGAACATCGACATGAATCTTTATCTGATCTAAGTAGATTTCTCATTTTGATAAACTGGACAACATCTGTATTGGGCTTTGCAGGAATCTCAAATCATTAAAATAAAATGCTATTTTGTAAAGTAAAAATACGAATTCGTATAAATGGCGCGAGCGAGCAGTAGAATCCAACAGAATTTTAAAAACATCCGCTGTCAAACATCCAGAAATTTTGCAATATTCCTTATTTACTGAAAAGGATATATTTTTCCTTTAAGTCAAATAATGCAAACCAATAAGAAATCAGTATTTGTCGCTCACCAGCCAATCGGAAAGCTTAAATTTGGCGAATGAATCAGACCCCCGCAAAGATTAAGCAAGCCAATGAGGAACCAGTATTAGCCCTTCACCAGCTAATCTGAAACGCTTAAATTGCGCAGACGAGTCAGACCTCTGCAGAGATGAGTCAAACTTCTTTTAAGCCAATCAAATGCCTAGAATCAACAGTCGATAAGGCAAAATTCAAGCAGGCTACCGCTATCATGACTCATTTGCCGAAAGCTCAAAAGTCAGTGACCACTAACTGAATGAAGCTTGAAACTCATAACTGGACTGTTGACTTATCGCATGACGCCAATTTTTCCGCTGACTGAAGTTTAAATATTTCGACCTGGATTGTTTGCCTTAGTCGCGTGACTCATTTGACAACCCGAGATCCGCCCCTGATTTAGCCTGCTAACGTTATACCTAAACACAAGGCTTTCGCATAAATTATTTTCAAAATTAATCGGTGTTACGGGCAACAGGTCGTCGGCACATCGCTGTCGTCTTTCAACCAAGCCTCGCTCCTCATCGGTAAAAACTATATGCAACTTCTTCATATCATAAATTTTAGTTTATAAAGTAAGAAGAAGGCCAAATGATCTAAAAAATAAAACCTATTTCCGAATAATCGTGTCATTTTGAAAATGCAAAATACAATTCGTAATACAATGCCTTTCGAAACAGTGTAAGTTTTCGATTTCATTTCTAAGTTAAGTCGTCTTCATAGATAACAAGACGCCTACTAGGCGTTATATGATCGCGTCGTTCACAGCGGCATTGTGTCGTAAATGTTCTTAATAATAAAAATGAACAATATACCGAACTATAGTCGCATGTTGAAAGCAGGAGAAACACACAACAGCCTATTTCGAAACTGCTTGAAATCCTTTAGTTTGTGTAATGAGTGTAAAGATAAAGATAGCACTTGCTAGCATTTTTATCGCTTTATTGATTCTACTTTACTGCTTTGAAGGTGAAACGAAATATGCCCAAAGTGAATACAACACGTGTATAAGTAGCAACTTACCTGTGCGCAGGTTCCCGATTAGGGTGATATGGCCTGCAGCTAGCGACGCTGGGGGTCGACCCGAGAGGAAAATAATAAAAAAAAACCAAGCCGAAACTATAGATCGCTGTCGCTACGCGACGCGATCAATAAATTGAGATTGGAATCCTGTGACACTAAACGGCGCAATGAGGTGCCTTTGTTGAACTGGCAATTACCTGAATTATGAGCGTCCAAGAACATACGATGTATTCAATGCGAGCAGGTTTTTCCTTCACTTTTGTGTTTTTCAAGCATCAGCGTCATGTCTACCGGTAATATTATACAATAGCTAAGTTGGGAATATTAAAGTGGAAGTCAAGCCCGTTCTGCGCATTGGCTCTGCCTATATATTGCCAAATTTCGCACGTTTCGAAATTTTTCTTAACATAAAATCTAGTTCAAATTCACGATACATTCAAAATGTTGGAAGGTTTTTATTGATAAAATCTTGAATGGTATTTATCATTTAGTGTATTTTGACAGGAACAGAAACGCATAACTCATACTTTCGGAACCTATTACGGGTACGATCTCCCAGGTCGATATTCGTTTTTAATTTAGATTTCCTAGCCAACACAGCCTTAAATCTGAAACCAAGTTACGGAGCTGCATGTACAAAGGAATTTATGAGGACGCGGGCGCGGACTACGTTTAAAGCTTTGTATTTAAAGCAGCACGAAACAAACCACATCACAAGAAAGATTTGCCGCATATTTTTATCTGCATATGCCTTATCTTGCATTTTGACAACCCACCTAACTGTTCTGTTTGGTATTTTATCGTTTTATAACTCGAGCCCCCTTACAATATAAATGTCTACTTTCTCCCTCGCCGCTCTGTCTACTAATAGAGAACTTAAGCAGCAACGTTTTTGACGACGGCAACGGCAAGCGGAAGTACGTTTCGAATCACGTTGCTCGACTTCTGTGGTCGCCTTCGACCTGCTGCGGCCGCGTAGAAAGGCAACTTTCGAATGTCAATTTGGAAATGGGATAGACAGAAGAACATGATTTGCTTTTGATGAAGGAGATGATAGTCAGTGGTATTGACGACATTCGATAGTTGTGGGAATTCGAAGATTTTTGAGGAAAAATCAAGTCGTGTTGTTTTCTACTTGAAACTCTGCTTTACATTCGGCTTTATTCATTTCGTTAAGACAGAATTGGTACATTTCGAAGGGAAACTCAGGATTCCTTGACTCGTAATCTTGGTAGATTAATAGAAATTCTTCCATTGTGATCTCACCTTCTTCGAAAAGCACGAGACAAAATTCTGAGGAGATTGACACCGATGCTTTATACATACATTCAAATGCAAGGTGATTAGTCCAAGCTCTTCTGCAGTTGACCCACTCAAGAGACAACCACCATTTTCTTGCGTAACATAAATTGTTGCCACCGTAATCTTGCGGTGCGGCGTGATTCCACAATGGTAGTAAATTTCCCATTCATTTTAACAGGGACCTTCGAATCAAATGCGTAAGCTTGTTTTGGACAATGTATAGTGTCCCAATTTCTCAAAAGTGTTTTGATCTATAATGTTTATGCTGGATCCAGTATCAAAAGTAAACTTTACGTTGCGATTATTAATCTTCAACCTTGTGCATGTAAGGATTTTGTGCTTTTGTATTGTGGACTGCATAACAATAATTGCTGGAGTCGCTTGAATCACTGTCGTTGTCCGCCGAATAGGTTTGTTCTCATGACGTCCTTGCCTTCGTCCACGACCTTGCCGCTGACCTCGCGCCACCGTGGGTGAAGAACGACACATTCTTGCAAAATGGTTTGGTCTTGAACATTTTCGGCACTCTACCCTTTGCTGGACATATTCCCGTGTTGTGTTTAAGATTTAAGATTTATTAAAAGAACCAATTTTGCAGTTAGAGACTGAATAACATTGGTTAACAAGATTATGCAAACTATTTAAGACTTTTTAAATTAAATATATTCCAGATTTTTGGTCTTTTTTATATCCACCAATAGGAAAATTTGAAACAAGATGTTCGTCGCGTGTTTACACGATCACATGTACATACATTAGGGCATGGATGAAATATAGACAGACGTAAATTTCTGGTATAAGTGTCCCAATGGCAATTCGGCAATCTTACTAGCTACTGTTTATTGCGTAATATTTTCATTAGGTCATATTGCTTTTGTGTCACATGATATGTCACCTGTTTCACACTAATGCCATGGAATTTGCGGTTTAAAAAACTTATCTTGTATTGATTACTTGTATCTGTAAACACATTGCAATTCATGTTTTGGTGAAATGTTAATTGTCGATAAACTATAACTAAAAAATAAACTATAGCACCAACTTAAAAAAATGTGGAATTTTTCAGAATGAACTGTATTGTTTATGTCTATTAATTTCAACCGCCCACGTTGTGATAAAATTTACTGCTAAATCATACAAGATTCGCTTTTTTGTATGCAGAAATCTATTTTAGTCGAACAAAAAACACTACAAAGCGAACTGATAATGACAAAACTGAAAGAATCTTAGTAAACGCGATATCGTTTTATTTCTTAACATTGAACTACGTATAAAATTCAATAGCGTAGGCAACCTGACAATTTACTCCTGCTTTGCTAACAATTATTTTGGTGTTCATTGAATGTGGAAACAATGAATTTCTAAAGAAATCAATTATCCTAAAGAGTTGAAATTTGCAAGGCAGAAAAGACCCCGTTTACAATATACCAGATTTACATGGTCACGACATCAGTTTAAGTTGTTTTACGGTATTTCTATCCCCAGAACATTTTTCATTTGGCAGATCAAGTTAAAGCAATCATGCTGTCATACTTTTGGGGATAAAAATCGGTCTGCCATGGCTAATTTTGATGTCGTGACGATGCGAATTCGAAATAGCATAAACAGGGCAAGTAAATGTCAGACTGGTACGCCCACTGCTATACTTAGCTATAGAGATTAAACATTAATGACGGAATCATGCAGAAGCCAAATACCAAGGCCTGGTATAGTCCTTAAATACAGTTCCTACTTTACTTTAATATGCAATCAGTAACTCGAATATATAATCTTAATAAAGCCTTCCTTCCGTCAAACTGTTTAACTATTACCACGGCTAGTACTTCGGGGGTTGGGATCCTGGAAAGTGTAGGGGTTGAGGCGGAGGGAACTGGTTGGGTTGCGAGGATGGAAAGTTTCCTCCCTGGTTGTAGTAAGGAGGAGGGGGAGCATTGTAGACTGGGGGTGGTGGAGCGCTGGTTTGAAATTGGGTATTCTCAACAGCAACAATAGCAACTGTGTTCTGGAGAGCCCGTTGTCTCACGACCCGTCAACGTTGGGATGAGCCACGGAAACAACAATATGCGGGAATCCCGCCAAACACGATAATGAACAGTATCACACCTACCACGATCACTGGGACAACCCAGGATGCAGTTGTAGAGGAATAAGAAGATCTCTTACATTTGCTGGAATGACATCTCTCCCCAGGCCTTCCACAATCACTGTCGTAGGAGCATGTTTCACCAACACAGGTTTTTCGACAAACGTTAACGTAGAATCCTCGTCATCTGTTAACTATTACCACGACTAGTATTGCGGGGGTTGAGGTTCCTGAAAGAGTAGGGGTTCAGACGGAGGAAACTGGCTGGGTTGTGGGGACGGAAAGTCTCCTTCCTGGATGTAATAAGGAGGAGGGGGAGTATTGCAGACTGGCGGTGGTGGAGCGCTGGTATGACCTTCAACGGCAACAAAAGCAATTGCGTTCTGGGGAGCAGGTTGTCTCACGACCCGTCCACGTTGGGATGAGCCACGGAAACAACGATATCGATATATGATAATACCGCCAAATACGGCAAAGAACAGTATCACGCCTACCACGATCGCTGTAACAACCCAGGATGCAGTTGTAGAGGAATAAGTTCTCTTACATTTGTTGGAATGACATCTCTCCCCAGGCCCACCACAATCACTGTCCAAGAAGCATGTCTCCCCAACACAACTTTTTCGACAAATGCTAGAAAAGTAGCTTCTTCGCTTACAACAATACTCCGAACTGGAGCATCCAGAATCCGATGAACATCGCGTACAACCTGAGGTGACGCATTTGCTATTAAGACAACATTTATCACCACTACAATCACCGTCTGTAGAACACTCGACACATTTTTTGCTACTCGAATTACAACTCTCTCCAGGCCCTCCACAATCACTGTCGTAGGAGCATGTTTTCCCAACACAGCTTTTTCGACAAACGTTAACGTCGAAGATTCCTCGCTTACAACAATATTCCGAACTAGAGCATCCAGAATTCGATGAACACGGCGTACAGCCAGAGGTGACGCATTTGTTTTTAAGACAACATTCACTCCCACTACAATCACCGTCTGTAGAACATTTGACACATTTTTTGCTACTCGAATCACAACTCTCTCCAGGTCCTCCACAATCACTGTCGTACGAGCATTTTTCACCAACACAGCTTTTTCGACAAACGCTAGAATAGTAGCTTCCTCGCTTACAACAATATTCCGAACTAGAGCATCCAGAATTCGATGAACACCGCGTGCAGCCTGAGGTGACGCATGTGCTATTAAGACAACATTTATCACCGCTACAATCACCGTCTGTAGAACACTCGACACATTTTTTGCTTCTCGAATCACAACTCTCTCCAGGCCCTCCACAATCACTGTCGTACGAGCATTTTTCCCCAACACAGCTGCTTTGACAAACATTAGTGTAGCTTCCTCGCTTACAACAATACGTCGAACCGGAGCATCCAGAATTCGATGAACACGAGGTAGACAAGGCACATTTTTTGTTCCAGTTACAATACTCTGAAAAACCACCGCAGTCTAAACTGGAATGGCATGTCTCCCCAACGCAGCTTCGTCTGCAAACATGTTTATCGTAAGAATATCGCTGTTTACAACAATACTCTGAGAAACCGCAGTTTGAATTAGAGTAACAATTGCTACAGCCTGACGTGGTACACTTGTTTGATTTACAGCATTCGTTTTTTCCTCCGCAATCACCATCTGTTGTGCAATAGCGACCGACGCATGAACTAATTCCGTATCTGCATTTTCTACTAGTATATCCATATTGATAGGCATATCCTTTACAGCAAACTTTGTTGCTGTAATAGCTGCTCACACAATCAGAATTTGAATTGCACGTGTTTTGGCCTAAAACCAGGCCAAACTGTCCCATCAACATCGCATTCAAAAGGAAAAGAAAAGTCATAGAGACGAACGACATCTTGTCTGTTAAAAAACTCCTCGTTACTTGGCAACTTAATCAAGAATTAATAAAATATCTATCATTTTCTTGGAAGGGGGAATACGTGGAATTCAAAGTGACGCAGCGATAACCCATGCTGGGACAATAATGAGTATACTGCTCAATAGGCTCTGCTCAATAGTCGCAAACATTAAGTCAACTTGAACCACCGCTCTAATTTGATCGCGCGAACAACGCCAACACAGTCCTGGAAGTCTGTCATTAGTCATTCGTAATGGACATGTCAAGCAGGCAACATGCTGTCACAGAGATGCATGTATAAAGGAAATTATTACAATGATATAACAAACAACGGGTAGAGACTATATGTTGAAAGCTTTGTATTCCAATTGCTATAAGACGAACCACAGCACAAAAAAGGGTAAAAGACTAAGAGTGAACTTAGGCTGTGGTGACCTTGACTAAGAGCAAGAACTTTGTAAACAATGGATTAATTTACAAGAGATTTCGCATAAATTATTTTCAAAATTATTTGGTGCGTTTGCTACCAGCTACACGTCGTCGGCACATCGCTGATTCGCTGTCGCATTTGAATCAAGCCTTGCTCCTCACCGGTAAAAACTATATGCAACTTCTTCATATTATAAATTTTAGTTTCTAAAGTGAGAAGAAGGCCAAATGATCTTAAAAATAAAATCTATTTCCGAATAAACGTGTCATTTTGAAAATGCAAGTACAATTCGTAATACGATGCCTTTCGAAACAGTGTAAGTTTTCGATTTCATTTCTAAGTTAAGTCGTCTTCATAGATAATAAATTGAGATTGTAATCCTCTGACACTAAACGGCGCAATGAGGTGCCTTTGTTAAACTGGTAATTACTTAAATTATGAGCGTCCTAGAACATACAGGCGCCTCTAATATGTAAATTTGTAAAGAAATGTAAAATGTCGTAAAGTTTGTATTCAATGCGAGCAGATTTTCCTTCACTTTTGTGTTTTTCAAGCATTAGCGTCAGGTCTACCAGTAATACTAGGTTACCTACAGATAGTGAATGCTGCCTTTATTGCATCTTGTATATCTGCAAACACGCGCTTGCGCAAGCCTAGTCATGCAGGATTGAATTGTAGAAAGAAGTACTTACCTGGGTACTCGCCAAATCGGGTTGGACAACAGCCTTGGAGAATGAAGTATTCACTATTCATCGTTTATGAGGAATTTTATGTAAATTGTTCTCTTTGTTTGGGCCTAAGTTTTTGCTGAATAGATTAAATGAACAAAGATGAAGCATGTGCAAGTTCGCCAGCTGTTTTATTTTGAATGCACGTGGTCATAATAGTAGGTTGTTGTGTCACTGAAATCTAGTTAACGTAGTTGTGAACTCTTCACATGAGACTTGAAAACTTGGCTAATTGTTTGGCAGTAAGTTGGGAATATTAAAGTGGAAGTCAAGCCCGTTTTGCGCATTGGCTCTGCCTATATATATATATATATTGCCCAGTTTCGCATGTTTCGAAATTTTTTTTAACACAAAATCTAGCTCAAATTCACGATACATTCAAAATCTTGGAAGGTTTTTGTTGATAAAATTTTGGAAAGTATTTATATTCAGTTTATTTTGACAGGGCCAGAAACGCATATAACTCATACTTTCGGAACCTATCATACGCAGGTACGATCTCCCAAAGGCAAGAGGTTTAAGGTGCATGGGCTGCCTCTTATCTAGATTTACCAGGGTCGATATTCATTTTTAATTTAGATTTCCTAGCCAACACAGCCTTAGATTTGAAACCAAATAGTATCAGCAGGAAATATGTCAAGCATGCAGGAAATAGGTACACAGCTGCATGTCTAAAGGAATTTATGAGGACGGGCGCAGACTACGTTTAAAGCTTTGTCTTTAAAGTTACACGAGGCAAACCACAGTACAAGAAAGATTTGCCGCATATTTTTATCTGCTATTCTATTTGCATATGCCTTATCTCGCATTTGACAACCATCTAACTGTTATGTTTGGTATTTTATCGTTTTATAACTCGAATCCGCTTACAATATAAATGTTTACTTTCTTCCTCGCCGCTTTGCCTACTAATGCCTCGCCCGAGGCCCACCGGAAATGACGTAACACTACATCTCCCATTTTTCCAACAAAACAACTAAATGTCAAATGTTTAATCTGAACGAATATCCAATAGTTTACTCTTATTGTTTGAGTGTTTATTTTAAAGTCTAAACCCCGCGAGTTTACTGGGTGCCCATAAAGATTTGTCTGCCGTGTATATTTCGTGTGGAACCTCTAGGCTCTTGTTGTTCTTGCTGATGTTGTTCCTGTACTTTGTCTCCATCACCTTCCAGTCTTCTGTTAAGGACATCCTCGTCACTCTCTTCCTCTCTGGCTACTTGCTGCGCTATCTTCTTGAAGAACGATACATTTCACGTGATAGAGTGCTGTTGGTTTCTCGCAATTACTTTTGACCCTTTGATCGCAATAATTTGATATGGTGTAGACCTAAAATTGGTTGAAAAATTATTCGTTTTCTCCTGCCGCACAAGAACACGATCTTCAACTAGTAGTTTACTTGACCGCGCACGCCTTTTTTGTCGTTGTGCTTGGCTTCTCTATGCCGATTGATAACCTTGCTGTTGTGGGGAAGTGTGGGCAATTTTTTATGAATTTCTCGGTTTTACAGCAACTGAGCAGGTGGTACCTTTGTGGTCGAATGCGATGTAGGACGATACGCCAACAAGAAATTGAAGAGCTCTTGTTTCCAAGGTCGTCCTTCAAGGTTTGCTATTCGAATAGCCTTGCCGAGTGGCTTTATAAAAGCTTCAACTTCAGCATTACCTTGAGGCCAAAGGAGGGTGGATGTAGTATGCTGAATTCTGATATTAGAAAGGGGGGCCATTGTTTGAGACAACCTGCGAAGGAACGCCTTGCGGGCCAAAAATTGCATCGAGGTTTGTGGTTACACTTTTAGCTGAGATCGAACAACACTTTAAATTCCGGAAATCGAGAGTAGCAATCGAGGACTACTAGAATATACTGTCCGGTCGGTAGTGGTCCATAGAAATTGACTTTGAGTTTGTCCCAGGCTTTGCTTGGTAGCGGGGTGAAGCGCAGAAGTTCCGGTTGGTTAACCCCGTGGCTTGGCAAGGAAGGCACTTTTCTAGTTCTGACTCCTTTGTTTATTTTTTTGAAACATAACGTGTTCTCGTATTAACGCCTTCGTCCGGGTCTGCCCTTAATGTCCTTCATGGGCCAGCTGGATGACATGTTGTATTAATGATGTTGGTAATACGATTCTGGTGTCCTGAAGCACCACATCATTAGTGTAGTCAATAGCTAATTCATCTTTGATGGGTTTGAACTGTTTCAGTTCGCTGTTGAACCACTGTCCTGTCTGGATTGCGCTCGTACAGAACTAAGTGTTGTATCTTTTCTACTAATGCTTCGCCCGAGGCTCACCATAAGTGACGTGACACTACACTAACTTCACTTTTCGTACTTCCCTAAAACCACCGACCGGCACAAAAAAGCGACCGAAAGACTCTGAAAGCCACCGCCGGGATGATTGTATTCTACGAATGCAATTCAGGGGCATCTCGCTTCATAAAATACTAATGCAGATGCCGTAGTTTGGACTGGCGTAAAAATGTCAATGGCTATGTTAGAAATGAGCTGATATGATCTATATCAACTTTCATTATAAATAATGTATTTAAGCAGATAACATTGAACCGTTGTCTGTTCAGTTATGGAATACACGGATGACATTATTAATTTTGTGATAAGAACAAAACAAAGTGGCCACGAACCGCCGGGTCGAGTCCGAAATTAAACAGGCAAATAGTTTCCCTAACACTTGGAAAATTGTCAAAGTAGAAATTTTGCAGATATCACGCGTACATGATCTATACGTTTGTCGAAATGCTATTGGCTAGCTTAAGACACGTGGTAAAATGTGATTGGCTGACAAAATAAAACAAGGGATGACTGATTAAATTCGTTAAAATTATCTGTGAGGTCATCCGGTGCGTTATATAATGACTGACACAGCAAATATGACTATCAGCTCTGCATGGCTATATAATTTACAATAACACGAATTGCTGTTTCAAGAGGTTTCGGTGACTTGAAACTATAACCGTTTCTAACAGATTAGAAAATCAAAAACCTAACCTTGAATAACAAAATACTATTTGTAAAGGGGAGATTATAAGTGCATTTAAGTTACATCTACCTTTTTCTGAAATATTTACTTGAATTACGTTACCTATTTTTTCATTTTAGACTATAAAATACAACAGCTATGCATGGCTTAAATATAGGAATGTGGTACTGGTTGGTGACGTGCATTCTGAATTCTGATCTATTTAATCAGGACGGTATGACTTCATACACAGGGAAAAAGCAACAAGACGTCTCAAGACTGTTCAGCTACAGTGTTATGAATGATCGGAACCAGCCCACTAGAGTGACGGAAGACAAACACAAACACTCATTGATCTGGTCATAGCAAGTAAACCTGACCTCGTTGACATTGAGGGCAGCACAAAGGTGTTAGAGCTCGGAATTTCTGATCACAGACTAGTACACGTGCATTTAAGCACTAAGACCAAGAAACTGCCACCAAAGGTGATCAGCACTCGATCGTTTAAAAACTTTGATTCTGAATCATTCGCAAAGGACATAGAAAATGGTCCATGGTCGTTTGTAGGGTGTTTGACGATCAAGACGACTGTTTCTGGGCATGGACACAACTTTTCATTGAGGTCTGCTATTTGCACGCGCCTTAGAGAAATAAAAATCAGGAGACATGCAGTCATTACCTTCGATCACACCTAACATAATGCATCTAATGAATAAACGTTTCAAGATCCTGAAGAAAGCGCAAACAAAAAAAAACCAAGTTTGTGGGCCGAGTACCGCGCTTTATTTCATTTCTGTCAGTTTGTAATCTAGAGACTTTAAATAACGTCATGCGAGCAGTTTATCAAGCAATCAGAGACAATGCATGAGATGTGATACTTAAAAGGTTTTATGGATAACAAGACGCCTGTTCTAGATACCTTGCGAACCTAAATGTTGTTCGATGGCGACATTCAGAAGCACATCTTACTTTAAAAAGTATAGAAGTTAATTCAATTGTTTAAAAATGTAAATAAACCGCATGATACGTTCACTTTGTCTTACACTTTGGAATTCGTGCTTATATTAAATCTTCAATCCTGTGCAAATTAACTGCGACGTGTCAACGTATCATGCATGGAACCGGCTGTTTAAGGAGAACGTTTTATAAATTCTCAGAAATAGATAAACTACAATGGGCAAAATGTGGAAAATGTGACACTTTGCAATGCCACTAAAGATGAACATCTTATATAGTTCTAATCTCATAATCGCAAGATCCTAATACGATTATTACTCGTCTCACGGATGAAAACGAGTGCCACATATATTTTTAATATTCACTAATCGCAAAAAATTGAAACTCTGCAGACGTTCGTTCGCGTGTTTACACGATCACATACACCAGAACATAGAAATATGGACAGATGTCTGTCTCAGGTGTAAAAGTGTCCCAATGGCAAGGCAGACATCTTTCCAGCTACTGTTTATTGCGTGATATTTTTATACGTCATTGCTTTTATGCACTATGACATGTGACCTATTTCACTAATGACCTATTTCACTATTTGAAAATAAATTAATTCATTTATATAAAAATTGCTACTAAATTGTCAAAAAATTGCTACTAAAACCAGTAAAACGGCAGAAATGATAAGGAATCCAAACTCAGTCATCCTCAGTCTACCAAGTGTGATGACATTTTAGGAAAATTCGAGGACACGAAAACAATTTGCACCTATTCTGCGCGAGAGTAAGAACAAGATACGACAATACAATGTCCATGTATACAGCTATTAAATTCGAAAAGGCTTGCCCAACGAAAATTATGACAAAAGACATCCAGCGCGCATTGGATCATAGAATCAACCTATCCAGACTGTATAACTCGGATTTCTTCGAAATTGGAATTCTTGCACCAAACAATAGACTCGTAAAACTACATTAGGCAGGAGAAAGAATTCACACTGGGTACATTGATAATACGGTAAACATTTTACGAGATCTAATTTATTTGTTACATATGTAAATATATTGTAATTCACCTTTTTCGTGAAATGCTATTCGACGAGAAACTATACCATTATCCCGGAACAAAAACGCTACAAAGCGAACTATTAAGAGAATATTTTAGTTGACACGTAGTATTTACCCCTTAATATTCAACTGCATAACATTAACCTATAAATTATAGATATTAATGACGAAATCTAACGCCGTAAAAGCCTGGTCCAGTCGCTATAGTTCCTTTAAATCAGTATGCAATCAGTTACTCGCACATATCGGTCATCACCACGGCTAGTACTGCGGGGATTGAGGACGGGAAAACTGGTTGGGTTGTGGGGAGGGAAAGTCTCCTCCCTGATTGTAATAAGGAGGAGGGGGAGCATTGCAGACTGGGGGTGGTGGTGGAGCGCTGGTGTGGGATTGAGTTTTTTCAACGGCAACAATAGCAATTGCATTCTGGGGAGCCCGTTGTCTCACGACCCGTCCACGTTGGGATGAGCCACGGAAACAACGATATGCGGGGATGCCGCCAAATACGGCAAAGAACAGTATCACACCTACCACAATCACTGGGACAACCCAGGATGCAGTTGTTGTTGACGATTTCTTACATTTGTTGGAACGACAACTCTCCCTAGGCCCTCCGCAATCACTGTCGTAGGAGCACGTCTCCCCAACACAATTTTTTCGACAAACGTTAACGTAGTCTCCTCGTTTACAACAATACTCCGAACTGGAGCATCCAGAATTCGATGAACACGGCGTGCAGCCTGAGGTGACGCATTTGTAATTAAGACAACATTCACTCCCGCTACAATCACCATCTGTAAAACAGGAGGTAGGCAGGGCACATTTTTTGCTACTGGAATCACAACTCTCTCCAGGACCTCTGCAATCACTGTCGTAAGAGCATTTTTCTCCAACACAATTTTTTCTACAAACGTTAGAGTAGAAGACTCCTCGCCTGCAACAATACTCCGAACTAGAGCATCCAAAATTCGAAAAACACGGCGTGCAACCTGAGGTGACGCATTTGTTATAAAGACAACATTCACTCCCAATACAATCACCGTCTGTAGAACACTCGACACATTTTTTATTAAAGTCACAATACTCTGACGAACCCCCGCAGTCTGAACTGGAATTGCATGTCTCCCCAACGCAGCTTCGTCTGCAAACATGTTTATCGTAAGAATATCGCTGTTTACAACAATACTCTGAGAAACCGCAGTTGGAATTAGAGTAACAATTGCTACAGCCTGACGTGGTACACTTGTTTGACTTACAGCATTCGTTTTTTCCTCCGCAATCACCGTCTGTTGTACAATAGCGACCGACGCATAAACTACTTCCGTAGTAGCATTTTCTACTAGTATATCCATATCCTTTATAGGCGTATCCTTTACAGCAAACTTTGTTGCTGTAATAGCTGCTCACACAATCAGAATTTGAAGTGCACGTGCTTTGGCCTGAAACCAGGCCAAACTTTCCCATCAATATCGCATTTAAAAGGAAAAGCAAAGTCATATAGACGAACGACATCTTGGCTGTCAATAATGAAACCAAAAATTCATCGTTACTAGACAACTTGATCCATGCATCATTAAGTACAAAGCCTATCACTTTTCAAAAAAGTGATACGATAATCCATGCTAGTAGAATTACTATTTTCGTGCCTTTTTTTTATTTAGCGACTTTTCTCCTTGCGACTTCCGCGATATCATAACAAAAAAATGTTTAATAGGGAAATTGGGAAATGAGCGACGGACTTAATTTAATCGCGCAAGCTTAGCCTACACAGCCCTAGAACAATTAGTAGTAGACATGTCAAGCAGGAAACAGTCATAGAGCTGCATGTATATAATGGGAAACTTAAGATGACACAACAATCAATAGGTACGGACTACGTTTAAACCTTTGTACTCGAAGTCTTTGAAGAGACAAACCACAAGAAGCGTATTTCTACGAGTATATAAACCACTAAACTTACATCGTAGCGACCTTGACAAGACGACATAATAACCGTATTTTTTGTTTTATAAGGGAAGATTGAGGAACATTGCAACGAAACTGATTACTCGGCGTTAATGGAAAACAAGTTTGTAAGCAAGGGATTGAGGATGCCAAGGTTAAACTCGCAAAGCACAAGGCTTTCCTGCGGTATCACGTGTGCAATTATGTCTCGAACAATAATCCTCTTCAATGTCAATACACTTAGTTTATATATATCAGGTTACGTCATTAGTTAATATTAGTAATAAGTAATGAGTTACCGTTTCGTGTTTACATACATTTGGATGTTTTTGTACGACCTGTCGTATTGCCTTTTCTTTGATCGATGGAAACGTTGGTGGTTTTTGCGATGGTTTTGTGGTCTGTACTACATGGTCTGTAAGAGACGACCACCGTTTTCTTGCGTAACATAAATTGTTGCCACCGTAATCTTGCGCCGTGATTCCACAATGGTATATATAGTAAATTTCCCATTCATTTTAACAGGGACCTTCGAATTAAATGCGTAAGCTTGTTTTGGACAATGTATAGTGTCCCAATTTCTCCAAAGTGTTTTGATCTATTATTATGTTTATGCTGGAATCAGTATCAATAGTAAACTTTGTGTAAGGATTTTGTGCCTTTGTGTTGCATAACAATAATTGCTGGATTCGCTTGAATCACTGTCGTTGTCCGCCGAATAGGTTTGTTCTCATGACGTCCTCGCCTTCGTCCACGATCTTGCCGGCGCCATTGTGGGTGTAGAACGACAAATTCTTGCAAGATGGTTTAGTTTTGAACATTTTCGGCACTCTTTGCTCTTTGCAGGACATATTCCCGTGCCGTGTGGCTATTCACCCCCAGAATGTTTGAAAACCCCTTTCTGCGTTGTCTTTTCACCAGAAATATTGCAAACAGCATCTACAACAGCGTCATCGTTCATAACGGTTTCATTGTTTCTTGTACTTTCCACAATTTCTGCAGCTTGTTGACAACTTCGTTCGAATTGTTGGCCTAGGACTAGCACGTCTTTCAATGTTAACTTGGGATCGCGTAAAACTTGCTTTCGGAGTCGATTTGAGCGACCGCACACAACAATCTGAACCAGTATTTCAAAGTCTGCATCCGGGGCGATTATAAGTGCATTTAAGTTGCATTTACCTTTTCTGAAATATTTACTTGAATTACGTTACCTATATAATTATTTATTCATTTTAGACTGTACAATATAACCGCAATGCATGGCTTAAATATAGGAATATGGTACTGGTGGGAGACGTAGATTCTGAATTCTGATCTATTTAGTCAGGACGGTATGACTTCGTACACTGGGAAAAACCTACAAGACGTCTGAAGACTGTTCAGCTACAGTGTTATGAATGATCGGAAGCAACCCACTAGAGTGACGGAAGACAAGCACAAACACTCATTCATCTGGTCATAGCGAGCTTGGATCACACCTAACATAATGCATCTAATGAATAAACGTTTCAAGATCCTGAAGAAAGCGAAAACAAAAAAAGATCAGAGTTTATGGGCCGAGTACCGCGCTTTATTTGATTTGTGTCAGTTTATAATCTATAGAGGCTTTAAATAACATCATGCGAGCAGTTTATCAAGCAATCAGAGACAATGCATGGGATGTGATACTTAAAAGGTTTTATGGATAATAAATATAGATGTAGATTATGCATTAAATTATGCTATACTGTATTTTTACACGTACTATCAACGCAGTCACGCAGCAACTGTAGTGATCCCATTAAAAGGATGCAAACTATTTCACACTTTTGAAAATGACATAAATTTTCGCGACGATTGCGACTAAATGAGAAGGAGATCATGCATGGAATCGGCTGTTTAAGGACGTTTTATAAATTCTCAGAAATAGATAAACTACAATGGAGAAAATGTGGAAAATGTGACACTTTGCAATGCCACTTAAGATGAACACCTTATATAGTTGTAATCTCATAATCGCAAGATCCTAATACGATTACTAATCGTCTTACGGATGAAAACGAGTGCCACATATTTTTTTTTATTCACTAATCGCAAAATTTGAAACTCTGCAGACGTTCGTTCGCGTGTTTACACGATCACATACACCAGAACATAGATGAAATATGGACAGATGTCAGTCTCAGGTGTAAAAGTGTCTCAATGGCAATGCGGACATCTTTCCAGCATGTGACCTATTTCACTAATGACCTATTTCACTATTTGAAAATAAATTAATTCATTTATATAAAAATTGCTACTAAACTGTCAAAAAATTGCTACTAAAACCAGTAAAACGGCAGAAATGATAAGGAATCCAAGCTCAGTCATCCTCAGTCTACCAAGTGTGATGACATTTTAGGAAAATTCGAGGACACAAAAACAATTTGCACCTATTCTGCGCGAGAGTAAGAACAAGATACGACAATACAATTATAATAAATTCGGATACAGCTAATAAATTCGAAAAGGCTTGCCCAAGGAAAATAATGACACAAGACATCCAGCGCGCATTGGATCATAGAATCAACCTATCCAGACTGTATAATTCGAAATTCTTGCACCAAGCAATACTGCCAATAGACTCGTAAAAATGCACTAGGCAGAGAAATGCGAAGGAAGAAGAATTCACACTGGATACATTGATAATACGGTAAACATTTTACGAGATCTAATTTATCTATTACATATGTAAATATATTGTAATTCACTTTTTTCGTGAAATACTATTCGTCGGGAAACTATACTATTATACTGGAACAAAAACACTACAAAGCGAACTATTAAGAGAATATTTTAGTTGACACGATAGTATTTACCCCTTAATATTGAACTACATAATATTATCCTATAAATTATAGTTATTAACGGACGAAATTCAAGGCCGTAAAAGCCTGGTCTAGTCACTATAGTTCCTTTAAATCAGTATGCAATCAGTTACTCGTATATATCGGCCATTACCACGGCTAGTACAGCGGGGGTTGACGTTCCGGGAAATGTAGGGGTTGAGGCGGGGGAAACTGGTTGGGTTGTGCGGAAGGAAAGTCTCCTCCCCGATTGTAATAAGGAGGAGGGGGAGCATTGCAGTCTGCGGGTTGTGGAGCGCTGGTGTGAACTTGAGTTTTTTCAATGGCAACAATAGCAATTGCGTTCTGGGCAGGCCGTGGTCTCACGACCCGTCCACGTTGGGATGAGCCACGGTAACAACGATATGCGGGAATTCCGCCAAACACGATTATGAACAGTATCACACATACCACGATCACCGGGACAACCCAGGATGCCGTTGTAGAGGAATAAGAAGATCTCTTACATTTGCTGGAATGACATCTTTCTCCCGGCCCTCCACAATCACTGTCGTAGGAGCATGTTTCCCCAACACAATTTTTTCGACAAACGTTAACGTAGCTTCTTCGCTTACAACAATACTCCGAACTGGAGCATTCAGAATTCGATGAACACCGCGTGCAGTTTGAGGTGACGCATTTGCTATTAAGGCAACATTCACTCCCACTACAATCACCGTCTGTAGAACAGGAGGTGGGCACGACACATTTTTTGCTACTCGAATCACAACTCTCACCAGGCCCTCCACAATCACTGTCGTAAGAGCACGTCTCCCCAACACAATTTTTTCGACAAACGTTAGCGTAGATTCTTCGCTTACAACAATACTCCAAACTGGAGCATCCAGAATTCGATGAACACCGCGTACAGCCTGAGGTGACGCATTTGTTATAAAGACAACATTCACTCCCACTACAATCACCGTCCGTAGAACACTCCACACATTTGTTATTGATGTTACAATACTCTGACGAACCACCGCAGTCTGAACTGGAATGGCATGACTCCCCAACGCAGCTTCGTCTGCAAACATATGTTTGGTCAAGATATTGCTGTTTACAACAATACTCGAATAAACCGCAGTAGGAATTAGAGTAACAATTGCTACAGCCTGATTTGGTACACGTGTTTGATATACAGCATTCCTCTTTCCCTCCGCAATCACCGTCTGATGTGCAATAGCGACCAACGCATGAGCTACTTCCGTGGTAGCAGTTTCTACCACTGCTAGAACCATATCCTCTACAACAAACGATGTTGCTGTAATAGCTTCCGCAATCAGAATTTGAATCGCATGTGTTTTGGCCTAAAACGCGGCCAAACTTTCCCATCAATATCGCATTTAAAAGGAAAAGCAAAGTCATATAGACGAACGATATCTTGGCTGTCAATAATAAAACAAAAAATTTCTCGTTACTAGGCATTTGATCCATGCAGCATTAAGTACAAGCCTATCACTTTTCAGGAAGGGCGGAAGTAAAAAAATGCAACGATAATCCATGTTTGTTTTTTTGAATTATTTGTTTTATTCAGCGACTTCTGCCTTTGCGACTTCCGCACTTGCGACTTGCGCAATATAAGATTGAGGAACGTTGTAACGAAACTGACTAATTCGTTATATTTGTTGGAAAACAAGTTTGTTTGTGAAAATAAAGGTAAACTCGCTAAGCACAAGACTTTCCTGTACACACATCATCCGGGATATATTTGAAATAACCGAATACGGTAGTCGCTTGTCATGCAACTTCTTAGGCCCAGTTCATACGTCGCATTTTGGTCGCGTCGAGCGCAATTCAAACAATACATAATGAGATAGTAAACCTCATTTAGCTTCATTATCGTCGCATTATCTATTGTTTGAATTGCATGCGACCAACATACGACGTATGAACTAGGCTTAAACTCGCAAATATTGAGAAAGTGTCCAACCGAGAAGTGAAGCAAAACATGATGTATATTAATAGGTCTTTGTTGATCGAAGAGTTCGGGCTCTTCGAAAACGAGTTCTTCACCCTTGTGGCTTTTTCTTGCTGATGTTTTGAAAATATCCATCACGTTTTTGCCCAGATGACCACTCGTGGCGACGTGTTTTTTTCTTATCACAAATTCCGTCATCCGTGTATTTACAACTGAACAGACAACGGTTCAATGTTATCTATTTGTTAACGTGTTAAAAATTCAAAGCAAAAAGTAACAATAACAACTACGATCTTGGAGAACCTAAAACAAACTACCGAAAAGAGTTTGGAATAGCTTATAAAATGAAGCAAAAGAAAAAGGCATGAGCATTAAAAAATTATTTACGCGTATTCTTGAACGCTCTTGACTCAACATATAAAATATCATCTTGTAAATATGTAAATAAAAGATTGAATGACATTAAGTTTAGGCTTGCAAGAATTTTATTGCACTTTGAAAAACAGATCAACTGAAAGGCTATCGTGTTTAAATATCATTGATACAGTATATAGCTAATTATAATAACACGAATCGTTGTTTGAAGAAGGCTTTTGGTGACATGTGAAAAACTACAAACCATATAAACTATCTGAAGTATGTTCTCTTCGCTAAGTTTTAAAGCTATTTACCCACTAACCAAAGTATCGCCATGTTGCACCTTATTCTTTATTACTATGATATCGAGGTTATAGGCCGAGAAGTTGGCTATTTTGCATGCAGTTTTTCCCGATTTATTATCAGTCATCCCCAGACCCATACTGATATACCATCAATGCTCATAGGAAAGCAAAATGTAGGGGCCATGCTCATTGGAATAGATTTCACGAATCTGACGGGGGTAATCGGTGGGTCTGACGGGGTGGAAAAAGCTCATCCTGATTGCGATAAGGGAGGAAGCTATGCGCTGACGGAGGTGAAGAACGATGATGCTCTCGATTTGTGCGAATCTCACTTTCTCTTAGAGCAATAACAGAAGCGTTGCCTTGCGCTGCCATGGGTCGGACTTCCGCACCACGTCGGAACGGACCGCGACAGCAGCGATAGACGAGAATTGAGCCAATTATGATAGCCAACACAACGCTTCCAAAAATAATAGCCGGAATGACCCAGGAAGCAAGTTCTTTCTTACGTTTGTTTGTACTGGAGGAACAGGACGGGCAACCCACGGTGACACATTTATTAGATCGACAGCATTCATTGCCACTACAATCGCCGTCTGTAAAACATTTAACATCCACTGAAATCATAGATTTCCCACATGTATGATTGCTCAAATCACAAGATTCTCCAGGGCCCCCACAATGACCATCAATGGCGCATTTTTCGCCCACACAGCTTCTCCGACACACGTTATCGTACGGACCTCTTTTGCAGCAATATTCCAAATTAGAGCAGTCAGAATTTGCAGAACACCGCGGGCAACTTGCGGTGACACATCTGCTGTACAGACAACACGCATCGCCACTGCAATCACCGTCTGTGGAACAATTACAAATCCCCGTTGCCGAAGATTTCTCACATTTGCTTGTATTCAAATTACAATACTCCCAAGGTCCTCCACAATGACTGTCCGAGAGACATTTCTCCCCGACACAGCGTCTCCGACAAACGCTGACGTCCCTGCCACGCTTACAACAAAATTCCGAAGCGGCGCAGTCAGAATTAGATAAACACCGCGAGCAACCAGTGCGAACGCATTTTCTAGACCAACAACATTCATCTCCACTACAATCACCATCTGTAACACAGCTTGTAACGGCACATACATTATTAGAGTCGCAAAATTCTCCAAGACCTCCACAGTCCCAACTGGAATGGCACGTTTCTCCAACGCAGCTTCGTCGGCAAATATTATGATCGTTGAGGTATTGATGTTCACAACAGTATTCGAACAAGGCACAGGCAAGACTAGAATTACATTCTTTACAACCGAATACGGCGCACTTGTTTGATATACAGCATTCGTCTTTCCCTCCACAATCACCGTCCGTCCAACAAAAGCGACCGACGCACGAAGGTTGGTCGTAGCAGCTTCTTCTGGTATTCCGATATCCCCTACAGCACAATTTATCGGGAAAGACCTCATCCCGACAATCAGAATTTGAATTGCACATGTTTTGGGCTGAAGACAGACTAAGCTCTCCAATGAACACCAGGCTTAGAGTGAAAATCAACAACACAGATTCGCTTGAGACTTTGTCTGCCGGCATTGGAAATTTTCCGGTTGACTGCATGTCCCGTGATTTCTACACGTACACAACTGATAATTTCGTATAAATGACAAACTTTGACGAAATGAAGCCCGTTTCAAACAGCCAAATACTATATATAAAGGAAGTCTTTATTTCTAAAAGGACGATTATGTGCATTTAAGTAAGCATTTAAGTATTTGCTTTTTCTTAAACATTTGCTCGAATAGCGTTGCCTATTCGTCAATTTTAGACTATAAAACCATCTCAAATCCATACTTCCTTGTTGATAGGAGTGTCTGGCATATCATTTTTTCGGTATTCGTTATCCTAGGATTAAACGGATAAAGCTTGAACGACACAAAATGCTCTCGGTGCCAGTTTATATACTTAGAGGATTTGAAGGACTTTCACGAGAGCAGTTTATCAACACAGAGACAACGCATGACATGACAGCGTGTCGAGGTTGTTTACTTAAAAGCAGCGCGGATTTACAATAATGCGCATATAAAATTTGTCATGCATGCACTGTTATTTTCAGGGAGTTATTTTAACACCCCCAAATTTAATTTTTCGGGGTGTTAAATTTTGGTGCTATTTTGACACCACTTTTAGAGTTATATTAACTCCTCGGTGGAGTAACGAGGTCTTCGAACGTTGATTAGTATGCAAAAATAATCCCATCTAGAGGGTTAGAGAAATTAACTCCATTTTTGGAGTTAAATTCCTCTCATTATATATTCATAATGGAGATTTGAAAACAAGGAGTGAAGATTGGTGATGCACATCGCGTTAATGATAATTTTTATTGAAATTGAACAAAATCTTGTATTAATTGAAATCATTTACTACATCAGAATACGTGATGAAAAGATTGCCTCGGATAGTTCTGGTAAGTTTATAACGATAAATGTCATAGAATCAATCATTAAATAGCGAAATACATGGTCGATCGGCTGGAGTAAAGCATTGACAACCGATCGTTATACATCGTATAGCGCATTATTAAATAAGGTATTCAGCGCATTAAAGATATCATAACTTACGGTCTTGTAGTTCTAGCCTGAAAGGCCTTAATTGAAGTTTTTTCGAAATCAAATTTTCAAACAAACTATATAAAAGAGCTCATTTGATATATTTATGGAAATGCGAATTCCCCAGGTTTATATTTTTGGTACTTTAAAACATGATTTATTCATGAATTATTCAATAAAACTATTTTTAACCTCTTTATGTGCAAAAAATCCAAGCATGCTTGTTTATTTCAGTTTATGATAAATCAAATAATAAACATTTTCCTGTTTTTTGTTAATTATTTTGCAATGAATCTTCTTTATTTTTATACTCAGGATCACCTTAAAATAACCAGGTAATATGGGACATTGTAATATCCATTCCTGGTTCTTTTTAATAATTGTCTGAAAGGTGGTCAATATTTGAGTGTAATGCTCAAATGCACATTAGCTATTTACACAACCAAGAAGTGCTATAAACATTTGATTGGTGCATTTTTGGATAACATATATATGTGAGAGTTAAGTGGCATTTAAAAGCTTGGTGATTTGCAGTCTTCCATATCAAATGTGGTCTTTTATGCTACAAAGTTTTAAGTAATACATCTCTCAAAACTGACCCTTAAACATGTTATATATGATTATGAAGCTATATATATTCATAAGGCTATAAATACAATTTTTTGAAAAAACTATTTTGTGTTAATATTATCTGTCAAAGAACCATGCATTGAACAGTGCAGATCATGCGAATCAAGCATTAAACTGTGCAGATAATTTAGAGCTATAATTATACACAATATGTATTGCAAGGCAGGTTTTAATCAGAAATCAATGTTAAAAAATTTGACCTTTTGAATTAATATTTTTGAGGGCTCATGAAAGTTAAATTTTCATGTATGAAAAATAATTAATTTATATGTCTTTTCCATTGTCCCACTTGGAAACCTCAATAACATTTATACAAAATCACCAACAACATCAAATCATGGATTAATTAAACTGAAGAAATAAGTGTTTGTTAGCTACCACAGAATATGTTCATAAATTAATAAAGCCAAAAACATTACTGATAGTATCCTAACATTAACTTTCATTTTAAATTTTGACAGTTGATTTTAAAATCAAGACAAACTGAGTCAACTAATCAAGAAAAAGAAAACCTCATGATGTGGGTTGAATTGCCAGGGACACCTATGCTAAGACTTCAGGTCTTTATACAGCTCAGTGGCCGGGTCTTTCTTGGCGAAATATTTGCAAAGTACACACGAAGCCCTCGCTTGCTCCGTAAAAAGTTCTCTTTCTCGGTACTTTTCATTCGAAAATTGTAAACTTAGTAGAGGACTTGCGATTTTGGATGCGAAAAGCTGGATTTGGCGACTAGTGCGAGCTATTTTAAGGTAAATATTTGAAGTTTTTCTTGCATTTAGTCTTCCCGCCTTTTTATTGTGTTAACTTGGCCTGCAAAAACAGACAAATTTATTGCAAGATTCTTATAGTTTGATTCTAAAATGTTTTTCAAATAGTTGTTTCGATAATTTTTGATGCTGGTCGATTTATTTTTTCTGTGGGGCTCTTGCCAAAAGAGTTTTTCAGTCGCAAAACTGACGGCGAAGTATTTTTTTGTTTCTGATCAGCATGAATACATTATATCGCGAGCCTCCGATATTTACCTTAAAGTTCCTGGGATATTTTAACAGTCTATAACAATTCGAATTCGTATCTTTAGAAGCAGTAGAAGGAGTCCACAATGCCCGGTAGAGGGTAGAAGAAGCAATGCCAATGGGAAACTCAAACACAAATTTCAATACAAGAAAGCCCTAACCAGGCCCTAACCTAGCGAAACGATGTTGAAAACAACCCCAAAATAACTGTTCAATTCTCAATGGACGAAGCAACTTACCATGATGCAGTAAATCTAGGTATGTGGAATTTTTTTCCTATTCTTTTTATATTAGCTAAGCCTAAGTTACTTGAAATTATTCCTTCCTTATACTCACATGTTTCTGCTTATTTGTTTGAGTATGTTTGCATTGTGGATCACATAGAACATATAGATTTTGAAGTTCTGTTGAACAATGTGCTCTGTTATATGCATACAAAGCACACTACTCGAATTTACACTCATATACATGCAATTTTTCTATTTGTTCGTAGATTGAAGACTTGTTTCGTGCAATTGGCACAACAGGAAACCTCCGAAAATTTTACTACGAGGAAAATTGTAAAAGAAGAAACGTGGATCAGTATTGCTTATACAGCCAAGTCATCATCTTGGTAGAGTGAGTCTTAGCTTAGTAGAACTCTAGTAGAACTGAACAACCAGTGTCTTAATGACTATACCATTATGTTTTAGGCATGCATGGTACTCCACTTAAAAACATTTTCTAAGTTTTTTGCAAATGTGCATGTGTGTTAAAGTGTAAATAAAAAGTATTAAAGAGCTATACTATAGAAGCAATTCCTTTAATGCGTAGTTGACTTGCTGTACTCAAACAGAAATGTAATTGATCTCATGTATTCAATATTATAATAATATAATAACGATATTTGTGCTGCATTGTTTGTTGACTCGATCGGTATTATATATAGGTAGAAATCTTCGATGGAACGGAATATTTCGCTCAATTTATTTATCTTTTCAATTGTGAAATTAAACCGAGGCAGATTTACTGGATAGATCACAATTGAAAAGAAAATCAAGCGAAAAATTTCCTTCGATCGAAGTAATTTACCTATATAGTAGAAAACCGGCCTAACACCTAAAACGGTGTTAAATGTGTTTAACTCCAAAAATGGAGTTATGTTTTATGTCCAGAATTGGAGTTAAATTAACTCCAAAAGCGGTGTTAAATTATAACACCAGAAGTGGAGTTATTTGTTACTCCAAAAAGCTACTCATTTTGAACCTTTTTTTTTGACCCCTTTTTTGGTGTTAAAATAACTCCCTAAAAATAACAGTGTGTCTAAAACAAACACTCTGAATAAAATAAACAAGCGGGTAAACCATATACCCTCACCCGTCTCCCATTCCTCCTTTCTGATATCGGCGGAAGACCGATTTAACGCAATTTTATTATTTTTTGCCTAGTTTAGTACGTCTGGAGTATATACATATTAATTCTTTGATACATATCTGCTTCTATAGGCAAATTGCGGTTTGGCGCAACTTTTATAAGTATGTAGTATGCGATATACAATGAGACACGACTTTTTCACAGGGCTTTTGTACAAATTGATGAATTATGTATCTTTACTAATGTCATTTATCGCAGGCTTCAAACAAGAAATGCCTGAGAACGTTGTCACCACTTTCAAGGAATTTAAAAGTAAGAATCCGCAAACATATAGAGTGCGGCATAACCAACCGCAAAAATGCGTGCAAGCTATAGGTCGTCAAACACTTCTGCAATACACCTTATAGGCTTCAGACATATACACATAGTTTATTGTGAAAATTCTCAGGATAGCGACAGGATTTGTCAGCTCTACAACTGCAGCCAAGGTCGATACTGCTTTTCAAACGCGGTGATTCCAAAGGTAAGGGCGAATGCTGTATGAATAAAAGTACCATCGAATTTAAAGACTGCTCGCAATGTAAACCATTTCGACATTTCTACCCTCTGAATTTTCAAGTAAACACACGAGAAGTGTTTTTTGAAAAAGTTGGGTAGCGAAAGGCGAAAAAAAATTGCGAAATAACGAAATACGAAATAGCGAAAGAAATTTTTGTTACATCTTCAACGTGTTGGTCCCGTGGGACATATATATTGCAATTCCGATAAAGTAAGTAAAACAAAATAACCGGTTCCAACAAATTGAAACAACTGGAAAGCATATTATCGAGGATTTGCCTAAAGCAAATTGGCTCAAAAACATGAAAATCAAAGTGGAAAACCAATACCATATTCAATAAAAAAATATATGACAAATCCAACTATTTATTTATAATACTGGAATTGAGACGCCGACACGCAAGGTAAGGTTATCGGAATCTACATAGGAACAATCATTAATGAAGGATTTTGCCGATAGAAACCGAGAGCCATTTCGCCATTGACGCTGTTGTATAATTTCTTACTACTTTCAGGGAGCAACAGAATGTTAAAAACAACTGCGCTGATTTCTCTCTTAACTTGGAGTGCGATATTCATAGTCAACATCAGCTTGGTTGTCACTGTAGACGAATGTTATACGAATGGCGATTGTCTTAGCGACTTCAAGCATCTACGCATCGTTTGTTGTAAAAACTCTCGCGATAGCGACAGAATTTGTCAGCCCTACCACTGCCAAGGTCGATACTGCTTCACAGACGGTGATTGCGGAGGTGAGGGTGAATGCTGTATGAATAAAAGATGTATCCACTCTAACGATTGCCCGCAATGTAATACAAGTTCTGACTGTGCCGCTTCGGAGTATTGCTGCAAGCGAGCTCATGGAAATGTTTGTCGGAGGAGCTGCGTCAGAGAAAGATGCGAGAAAGGTGGCGATCAGTGTGCAGGTCGTCGGGAATATTGCGATTCGAAAAATATGTGCGCGAAACGTTTGAAACTTCAAACTTCAAAGCAAACACCAAAACAAACTCAAGCACCAAAACAAATTCCAACGCCAGAACAAACCCATACGACAAAAGAGAAGTCAGATTCATGTTCTTGCTCGTGTTTTCATCCGTTTCCTGGTTGGGCGATTGGATTTGTGGCAGTTGGATTACTGCTGGTCATCATCTTCGCGCTTGTATCCTATTTGTTGCACCGACATTGCAAATCGCGCTACAAGAGCAGAGCAGGAGTTGTTTACCCACACGGGGAACTTCTGCAAGCAAACCAACACCATGAAATGACTCTTCATGACTTTCACAACTAGCGCTTCAAAGGTGAAAATTTATACAACAGTAACAGTACGCATCACATGTTGTTAGGTATAATTAGTCTGGGCAAATTGTCTTACTGGTTCAAAAAATGTGATTGAAAATAGTAACTCGTTTTCACTAGTGTATGAGGATATGCATACAATATAATTATATAATTAAAAAGATTTGGAGTTTTACAATTATTACCGTACTTTTTATTTTCCCCGTAAATATATTTAAACCTTAAAACAATAACATTTTCCCATCATCAAAGTTGTGTTTGAATCGATGCTACAGCATAATAATTGTTATTTAGCTTTCATGTTTTCTGCCCAATTTGTTCTTATTTAAACAATGAACTGTCTTAATAATATATGCAAATTAGGAAATATATGTATGTTTTTGGATCAAAATCAAAATTATCCTAAGTAAATTAAACACAAAAAAATGTTTTTAATCGAGTTTTAAAAACAATAACTGTTTCACACCGTCTAATCTGAAGTGGAAGACAGCTCATTCTATATTAGAGCAGCAGCATGATTGTTTCTTCATGACTGTCTTCGGTGGTTTTTGCGTCAGATTTCAGTGACTCATGGCAGAAGAACAAAAACAGGTATCATTCAGCTTTCAGCTTATGAACTCTATGCATGGCATGGGGGAACTACTTGAAAGTATACTTGGTTTATTGAAACAAGCTGTTTTCTGTCCGACAAAAAGACTTTATCCTTTAAATTAACGCAGTACCGCCAACACCAAAGTTTTATTTCAATATTTTTATCATAACATATATAACCTAGTGATCTACCGTATCAAAGGCCGTGCCTCTTGTTGATCCGTACTCATTAAGATCTTTCGGCAATTTTTGAAACAAATGAGAGGTTTTTACAGATCTAAAATTCTCAAATAAAGCGTAAGTATATAGTTATCGGTATCGGAAGAGCAACTTTCCAGGAACATAACCAAAAAATTAAAAGACATAATGATTTTTGTGATTAGTTTTTAATGCATCAACGCGTAATTTCACAAGTATAGCATTTGCATGATGACTTCAACTGACGAAATGAAGTACGTTCAGCTGTAGGTGGCGATATTCAACAGACGTGTACCGCAATGCTCAAAACCTCGCCAAACTCATTCACAAGCTGATCCAAATCAATATGCGGGGTGGGGGGTTTTTATCACAAACTTTAGAAAGAGAAGACGTGCACCACATTAAAAAGTTTCCTTTAGACACCTGAGCACTGGTCAATGAATTCAGAATAATACAGTACGGCGCTTGCTCATTCTCAATTATAAGCAGAATATTTAATTCACTACAGGCACCACGACACATGCAGTTTTTTTGTTACATTCAAAATGCGAACTTAACATTTTCATGACTAATTTTCTGCGATTCACTTTCCTCTCGATTTTATTACCTTTCTTTTAACACGGCATGTTTCTTTAAAATTTTGATAGGGTTTCATCACAACTTTGCATCAAGTATCCAATTCAAGTTATTCCAAGTTTGATGACATAGATTAAAAGCAGCACATCAGTGTCGAATTTGAACCCATCTGCGTTAATTTGTCGTATTGAACGAATTTGGATTTTCTTCGGTCTTAATGTCGAATGTGTATTAGGTGTTTTGTCCCCCGTCGTTAACTATATTATATTTTGTTTTACAAAGGCGTAAGGAAACCCCCTGGCAAAAACAACAGTAAGGCGATAAACCAAGTTAAGCGAATATCTGTTCTTGTATGCATGGGAAGTTTTGAAGGAGCCAAATGACTAGAGGAACTCTCACGATTTTTATACTATTAACTTGCTGCAGTGTTTTCTTATCACATATCAGTCTGGTTGTGGCCATAGACGAATGCTATACGAACGGCGATTGTTACAGCGACTTCAGGCATTTACGTATAGTTTGTTGTAAAAATTCTCGTGATAGCGATAGAATTTGTCAGCCTTATAACTGCGAAGATCGATACTGCTTCACAGACGGTGACTGCGGAGGTGATGGCGAATGCTGCATCGATAAAAAATGCATCCATTCTCAAAATTGCCCACGATGTAATACAAATTCCGACTGTGCTTCGTCTGAGTATTGCTGCAAAAGAACACACGGTAATGTTTGTCGTAGAAGTTGTGTCAGGGAGAGATGCGATAAAGGTGGCGATCAATGTGCCGGCCCTGGGGAATATTGCGACTCAGATAATGTATGTGCGACATCGCTGGTTCCAACCAAAATCAACTTAGAGCAACAGAGGACCGGAAAACAAACTAAAAACCCAACCGCGAAGCAAACGCAAAAGACAAATGGATGGGAAACCCAAACGCAAATCACGAAATTTAATAATCCACACAAGAGCACGAAAACGGCAAATATGCCAGATTGGGCGATCGCATTAATTGTACTCGTTATAATGATGGCTGGTATAATCGGTATACTATCTTACTTGCTGTTCAGCGTTAAAAAACAATCCCGGAATATCTCAAGGACTGACAATGAAGGATATCAAATACCTACTTAAAAATAACCATTCGCAATGCACCCAAGTATTTGTTTTATTTAATTAGTTTACATGCGGAATATTTAGGAATTCCTAACGAACCAAGAAGTGTTTGATGCAGAAATAAACTGAGCAAAGCCGGAATTATTAATGCAAATCATTACGCTTTTGATCAAAGTGAGGTGGTTTAGAAAAATAGATGGAATATTAAGCATTGAGTGTGGCCAAATCA